AAAAAAAAAGATGTGAAGATACCCATCTATCTTGAATAGAAGTCCCAACTGTTTGCGATTGAAGGAGGTGGGGGTCGCTAGTTGTAAAATTAGCGATAAAATAACCCTCAAGGTTTGGTTTTTACCATAGACTAAGAGTCAATGAAAAGTGCAAATTTAGTGTGTGTGTTGGTCCCTTGATCAACGTTTTTTGGTGAAATGGAAACAAGAAGAAGAAAAAACCCCAGTTGGTATAGGGTCGGGGTGAGTAAGTTGTTTGTCCTTCCGGAGATGGCCTGGACTGTTTGTTTATGGATGCTGTTGATCGGACCTCAGCATTTTTCCACCCTTCAGTATGCTCATGAGACATTGATATCTTTCCCAGACACAACGTGTTACATTATTAACTTTCACCATATTATGCGGTGTTCACCAACGTCACACGGGTCAAGTAATGTCACTGCTTTGTTAGATGGATTGAACGACAGATTGCGTGTACTTACTTTGGATCAATTTTTTAAAATACATGTAAGTGTTTTACGGCGCTGGCAACTGCATAAGGTCATATGAGCGCGCGGGACAAATTAAACGTTTTTCAGTTGGTAGGAAATTTCGAATTCATCCGGGTGGCGGCTGAAGCCTAGTCTTATCGATTTTAGGACTACCAAGTCATCTTTCCGGTTGGGGGGGGCTACATCCTGGAATTTCTGATTCGGCCCAAGATTATGGATTTTAAGTTGTAGGCATTTTTAGCTTCTTCAGCCTCTCTCTACAAGTATTTCATCGCATAAGAACCCCCTAAAGTCTTATTTCTTCCCATACCAGACATGTTTGTCACCACCATTTCCTCATAAAGTCAATCTTTTATTTTTCTTTATCGCCTGTTTTCTCGAAACGTAGTTTTCTATATGTATACTTTTAAAAAATTACTCCCCCATTTTTCATCCAATCTTTTTGAAATTTTCACAGAATGAAGAAAAGATGTAATACTAAAAATTAGTGGGATGAATTTTAGATATATGGAATACTTTTTTGTTGGTGGTATCTGGAGTGTGGATTTTCAAGGATTAAAAAAAAAAAAATTTTTGCAAACGTAAATACTACTTCAGGAAAAAAAATCATTAAAAGATTGTTTAGTACGTTTAGGATAAATTCACACATATTTGTAGATCTAGTGTTTGCCAACATGCAATTAAAACAACAAAAACAATATATTTCAATAAAAAATAGGTGCGGTACTAATTACATATGGCATTAAAAAATCCAATATGGCGCCGTATCCATGGAAACGATATTTTTTCCTCAAATT